GGGTGATTTGAATTTAAATTGGCAATTTGCTACAGTGCTGCCAACGGATCCGGTACCCTTCACGGTAGGGTCAGTGCCGTCCGGTACCTAGGTACCGTGACCCACGGTATAGCCTACCGTTTGGGGGTACCGTGTATGCCTAAAGTTTGGTTCGCCTCTGGCGGTACCTGGTTAGGACGGGGGTAACCATACGTCTCAGTCTTCCGTCCGGTACCAAGGTACCGTTACACGGTAGGGGGCACCGTGTACCTCTTCAGTGAAACGTGCTACGGTACGTTCACTTGGCTACCGGCGGTATCCTGGTGCCGTGTACACGGTAGCCTGGTACCGTTAGGCCAGTGTAAATTTTCCAATACTCGTTTTTCGTGTTCCGTTTTCAAAATGACCCCAACTTAGAATATATTTGACATTTAAAATTAATTTTTGAGTGAAAGGGCATAAGTATATCATTAAAATATATATTATTACCTTTACACAATAATTTCTAAACTCGTAGGAGTATATCTCGGTGATGCTAAACAAGCTAATAGAGGTTTGGTGTTTGGTTTCTTCCTGCAAATGATGTTAGTAGCATTTGGAAGACTTATTTGGCACATCAAAACGGTTACGGGGTACGGCATTCAAGGCCAACACTTTTATCTAACGATCAAGTTGTTTTTCAACTTCAGTTTTATAATCTTTAAAAGTTGTAAGTGATTCAGATTTTTCCTTACTGAGATACCAGTACATATAACGAGAATAATCATCAATATAAGTGATAAATGAGTTATGTCCAGTTATGCCAGCGATAGAGTAAGGACCACTAATATCAGTGTGGATGAGCTCTAATAAATTAGAACTCCTAGTGGCACCTTTCTTATTCACTGTTGTCATTTTACCTTTAAGGCATTTGACACATGTTCCAAAATCATTGAAATCGAGAGATGGTAACACTTCATTCTTCACGAGTCTAGATAAACGTTCTCGTGAAATGTGGCCTAAGCATTGATGCCACAACATGGATGAAGTTTCTAAGTCTCGTTTTCGTTTTCTCTTTGTTAGTGTCTGATTGATATTATATGACAACAAAGATTTGGAAAAATCATCATCTAGTTCTAATTTATAGAGACCACCATCCAGAAAACCATGACCAAACACTTGAGAATTGAAACTAATAGTAAGTCTGCCATGACCATGAGAAACATCAAAACCGTCTATGTCTAACTTTGGTCCTGATACTAAATTCCGAGTAATCTCAGGAATATATAAGGTATCATAAAGTTTAATACATAAACCAGTTTTCATTATTAATTCTAAGGTTCCCACGGCTTCGACAGCTAGTTCTGTTCCATTCCCCAGCTTAAGTGTTCTTCGGTTTCTTTCCAGCTTCTGGATTGTAAGGAATCCCTGAAGTGAGTTGGTTACATGAACCATAGAACCAGAGTCAAACCACCATGTATTAGTTGGAACATTTAAATTAAAGGACTCAAGTATCATGTAAAGATGATTACCTTTCTTCGTCAGCCACTCCTTAAAGTCTTGGCAGTCTTTCTGTCTATGTCCTTCCTTGCGGCAGAACTTGCAGTAAGACTTCCCTTTGGAGTTCTTAGAGCTGGAAGAAGCACTTGCATCACGTTTCTGGACTTTAGAAACATCCTTCTTATCGACATTGCCCTTCCTCTTCTTTGG